AAAATAGCCAGGTGTTGTAGTGGGTGCCTGTAGTCCTAGCTACTTGGAAGGCTGAAGCAAGACAATCATTTAAGCCCAAGAGTTGAGGTTGCTCTGAGCTGTAACGCCATAGCACTCTACCCAGGGCGACATAATGAGACTCTGTCAAAAAAAAAAAAAAAAAAGAAATAAAATAGAATTCCCAAAGCTAATAAAGAACATCAACCTAGATTCAAGAAGTTCTATGAACCTCAATGAGAGCAATGACAGAAATTACATCAAAGCATATGTGATAGTTAATTTTGTATGTCAAATTGGCTGGACTAAGATGTTCAGATAGCTGAGAAAACATTATTTCTGCATTTTTCTGTGGTGGTGTTTAAAGAATAAATTGGCATTTGAGTTGTTAGAATAAAAAAGTAGAGGAAGCTAAGGCACCAGACACATACACCTAAGGTGGCGGGTTCGAAGCCCAGGCCCATCAAACGATGATGGATGCAACCAAAAAAAAATAGACAGGCGTTGTGGCGGGCACCTGTAGTCCCAGTAACTTGGGAGGTGGAGGCAGGAGACTCGCTTGACCCCAGGAGTTGGAGGTTGCTGTGAGCTATGCCATGGCACTCTACCCAGGGGGACAGCTTGAGGCTCTGTCTCAAAAAAAAAAAAAAAAAAGGTAGAGGAAGGATGAATTTGCTGTCTACTTTAGCTGGGACATCCATCTTCTCCTGTACTTGGACACTGCCATTCTTTGTTTTCAACTCTTTGGATGTTTTCAAGACTTTGGATTTTGCCTGCGACTTAACATTATTGGCCCTTGTTCTTAGACCTTTGGACTCAGACTATTATTGGCGCCTCTGGTTTTCAGGCCTTCAGATTTCAACTGAGTTGTACCACCAATTTTCCTGCAGATGGCAGATCATGGGACTTACTGACTCCCAGAATTTCTTGAGCTAATTCCTATAATAAATCTCCCATCTCCCTCCCTCCCTTCTCTCTTGTCTCTTTGTCTTCTCTGGAAAACCTTACTATAAATTTTGGTTTAAGAAATGAGAGTGCTGCTGTAAAAAATACCAGAAAATATGGAAGTGGCTTTGGAACTGGGTAGAAGACAGAGGCTGGGAGTGTTTTAGTGTCCATGTGGAAAACATCTACATTGCTGTGACTGGACCTTCAAAGGTCCATTGTGATTCTTGTGAGGATTCAGAAAGACAAGCCTCAGTCTTCCTAGAGAATACCTAAATAATCCTGAACAGAGCACTGGTAGATACTTAAGGCTATTCTCATGAAATTGCAAATGGAAATGAGGAATATCCTACTAAAATCTGGAGGAAAAGTAATCCTTGTTATAAAGTGGCAAAGAGCTCAGCTAAGTTGTGCTCATGTTCTAGTCTTTTTTAGAAGGTAGAACTTGCAAGTAATGAAATTGGATATTTGGTTGAGAAAATCTTTAAGCAAAGTGTTGGAGGACTCGCCTAGTTCCTTCTGGTTATGGCAAAGTGCCAAAAGAGAGAAATTACTTAAAGATGGACTTATTAATCAAAAATGAAGCAGAGCCTAAAAATTTGGGAAATTCTTGGGCTATTTATATTGTAAAGAATGAGAAAGCCAGGGCAGCACCTGTGGCCCAAAAGGTAGGGTGCCAGCCCCATATGCTGGAGGTGGTAGGTTCCAACCCAGCCCTGGCCCCCCCCCCAAAAAAAAAAAAGAATGAGAAAGCCTGTTCTAGATGAAAACTAAGGGTGTGGCCAAGGGACCTTTTGATACCTGAGATTAGTATGGATCCACATCCCAAGAAAAGCCCACTGCTATACATCAAGTTAATGGAAGAATGACCTTGAAGGCAATTTAGAGATTATTAGAGTTGCCTTTCCATCAAAAGCCCAGAGTACAAAGGTCCTAGAATGAAGCAATTTTAAATGTGGGGCCACCTGAGCTTCTGGGACCTCAGCATGCACCTTGCCCAATGGCATCACACATTATGGTCTCTGCTTCCTACTATTATGCTCCAGCTATGGCTTCAGGGCATTCTGGTATAGCACACTCTGTGTTGGCTAGCCCTGTAGAAGACAAAAGTGGCAAATTTTGGTGGAATCAACATAGCAGAGTCTCCACTGGGACATAGGGAGCTTGGGCTTTGCCTGGCAAAGCTACTAGTGCACCATTCCAGCCTGGGAGAGCCATAGGCAAGACCCCAGTTGGCAAAAATGGTGAAAGCAGAATCACCATTTGTAAGAGCCAGAGGCTCAAGACTCTAATCCATGATAGCTTTGGAGACAGGATCACAATGGGTAGCTCTAGTGGGTCCAAAAGGGAGCAGAGAAGATTATTAAGGATATTAAGGGAAGAGGATTATTCTGGAAACTTCAGGTCTAGTGGAACTTAGGAGGTCTGGGATAGAATGCTATAGACAGAGTGTGTCCCCCTAAAAGTTCCTGTGTAAAAACATACACCCCAATGTGATGTTTGGTATTTGGAAGTAGGGCCTGTGGGAGGTTACTTGGTCATAAAGGTGAGCCCTCATGAACGGAATTAGTGCTGTTATATAAAGGACCCCAGAGAGCTTCCACTCTACTTCTGCTGTCTGAGAGTACAGTGAGGGGATACCCATCTATGCATGAAGAGTAGATTCTTTACAGACACCAAATCTGCCAACACTTTGATCTAGGGCTTTTCGGCCTCCAGAACTAAAGGAAATAAATTTCTTATTTATTATTTCTTATAAATTATTTATAAGCCATCCAGTTTATAGTATTTTTTGTAGCAGCCCAAACAGACTAAGACAGCATTTCATGGTAAGCCTGCTAAAAAGTGAAGACACACAAAAAACAGTAAAATAAACCAGAGGAAAAATAATACATTTCCTTAAATGAGGACAACAATAAGACCTATAATTAACTACTGAAGAAAAACAATGGAGGCCAGGTGAATGAAAGTATGTTGAAAGAACTACAAGAAAAACAGGGCCAACTCAGAATTTACATCCACCAAAATATCATTTAAAAAATGATACACAGCTGGGCATGGGGGCTCAATGGGTGTAATGCTAGCACGATGGGAGGCCAAGACTGGTGGATCGCTTGAGGCCAGGAGTTCAAGAGCAGCCTGAGCAACATAATGAGACCCTGTGTCTAAAAAAAATAAAAAATAAGTGGGCTTGGTGACTAATCCCATCTTCTTGGGAGGCTAAGCTAAGATGGTCTCTGGCCCATGCAACAAATCAAGACCTTATATCCAAAAAAAAAAAAAAAAAAAGAACATATCATACAAATGTTTCAGATAAATGTAAACTGAGAGAATTTGTAGACAACCAATCCATACTATAATAATAAAGGGAGAAGGAATATGACCCTGGAAAGAAGTAGTGAATAAAAGGAAGCAGCTAAGAAGCAATGAGAAGGGATAAATAGATAGTCAGTACACATGAATGCTGATGGTTAAATCAATAATCATAATATATTGTGGAGTTATAAATACATGTGGAATTAAACTGCCTAACAATAACACAAAGAGCGACATAAATGAGTAAATTGTTTTAATGTCTCAAGTGTTTTCAGGAAAATTGTAAAAGGAGTAATTTGTATTACACTATGGAAGCCAGTAGGTTAAGGATAAACATTGTAATCACTAGGGAAACCACTAAAAGAAAGTAATAGAATGTATATGTGCAAGTTATCAGAGGGGGGAATATAACAAAATATTTGATTGATTAATATTAAAGAAACAAGGAAGGAATCAAATATAAAACAAACATCCGCTATAGGAAGTCATCAAGTCTACTTGGTAGCTCTATGAAATGGTTAATAAACTTAATAAGTTCCTGGGAAGATTCATCAAGAGTATAATATTTAGTTTGACATTTAAAAACCAGTTAATACAGTTTACCATGTGAAAAGATTAAAGAAGAAAAGCCAAGAAGAAGTAGAGTATGATTAAATTCAGTGTTAATTTAGAAGAAGAGTATGATTAAATTCAGTGTTAATTTTTTTTTTAGGCTCGGTGCCTGTGGCTCTAGTCGCTAAGGTGCCAGCCATATACACCTAAGGTGGCAGGTTCGAATCCAGCCTGGGCCCGCCAAACAATGATGCCTGCAACCAAAAAAAATAGCCGGGCATTGTGGCAGCCGCCTGTGGTCCCAGCTACTTGGGAGGCGGAGGCAGGAGACTCGCTTGAGCCCAGGAGTTGGAGGTTGCTATGAGCTGTAATGCCACGGCACTCTACTCAGGGGGACAGCTTGAGGCTCTGTCTCAAAAAAAAATTTTTTTTTAAGTTTTGGGATACACCAAAAAAGAAAATCCAACAATCCACATCATTCTTCATTCTGATAAATTAAAATCATTCCTGCTATAATCGGGAACAAAATGAGAATATCTCCTTTGAACATGTCTATTCACTGGACTAGTGAGCCCATCCAGTGTGGCTATAGCCCCTTAAATAATAAGAAATGTATTAGGATTGAATAAAAGAGATTCAGCTGTTATTAGCTGCAGCTAATATGATTAAATAATAGAAGACTAAAAGAATCTATTAGAATAAGAATAGCAAAGTTGTAGGATACATTCAATATATAAAAGTTAATTGTGTTTTAAAAACCCTTTTACAATTAAAATATTAAATTTAATTAGGAATATAACAAAATATGTGTAAGACTTTTATAGAAAAAAATTTCATACGCTTATTGAATGAAATTAAAGATGACTTAAACAAATGTAGAAATATGCCATATTCGTGGATTCTTTTCTCTTCACTGTGGTTTTCTAAAATGAGAGAAAGAATCATTTTCAGATTGTTTTTCATTTTGAAAAACCAGAAAATAGCTAATCAAATCTCACCAGATCTATGGCCAATTCTTTAATAGCTTTTCTTACTTAGTCTATGTTATTTTGAAGCTTTTCCTTTAAGGCCAGTTATTTAGCCAAACTTTATTCTGGTCATCCAGATATTTTACTATAACTGTTAGACTATCTCTCATACCATTTTCAAGCAAATATGAAGTCTCTGAGTTATCTTTTTTTTCCTTGCAGACTTTGCCTTCAAAAGAAACATTTTTAAATACTACAAAAATGCCTTGCCTACAGTCAGCTTCAACTTGGAGTAGCTATGAACACAATTCAGACTCTCAGCTATTAAGGGAACATGTATCCGAGTTGGATTCCTCTTTCCATTCTGTTCTATCATTGCCATCAGGTAAGCCTCTGCATAACAATTTCTAATTTTTTTTTTTTTTTTTGAGACAGAGGCTCACTTTGTCGCCCTTGGTAGTGAGCTCACAGCAACCTCAAACTCCTGGGCCCAAGTGATTCTCTTTGCCTCAGCCTCCCAAGCAGCCAGGAACACAGGTACCTGCCACAACGCCTTTTTGGTTGTAGTTGTCACTGTTGTTTGGCAGGCCCGGGCTGGATTCGAACCTGCCAGTTCTGGTTTATGTGGCTGGCGCCCCAGCCGGTTGAGCTACAGGCGCTGAACCTGCATAACAATTTCTAAGTAACTCTGGATTTTTTCTAAATTGATATCTAATCTTATAAATACTGAGAATCCAAAACAATGTTACCACTTTGTCACTAGAAATTAGAACTAAATAGTTCCCATGAAGAGTTAATTTAGTCATATGCAGAGTTAATGTTCTAAATTGATTCTTTAATCTCTTCTAAACCAATTTGCTTTACTTTGAAAAATAACTAGTTTTTCATCATCTCTGTTTAATTTTGAGTATTTTATTGGTGACATGGCTACACTGAGATGCTTCTCAGGAATAGTAATTTAGCATTCTTTTTCTCATGCTCTGATTTGCATGGAGTTTGCCTTGCCATATATTCCTCCATTTATAATCTGCATTGAATTTTTCCCAGAGTGAAGAAAACTGTCCATCTATAAGTATAGTCAGCATATAGAACCTCAGGAGAGAATATCTGTAATCTATAACTGAATAAATGGAGCATATACATCTCCACAACCCTAAGATGGCTTTAATTTGCCAATTCTAGATGGTTTTCCTTTTTAATCTTTTTAGTCTTATTTATATTGGAACTAAAATAAATATTGATGGTAGAAACACACCTGGGGTCATAGCTCACAGTAATTTCAAACTCTTGTACTCAAGTGATCCTCTTGCCTCACCCTCCCAAGAAGCTGGGACTACAGGCACCTGCTATAATAGTGGGCTATTTTTTTTTTTTTTTTTTTTAAGTACAGATGGCGTCCATCTCTTCCTCAGGCTGGCCTTGAACTACTGAGCACAAAGGCCTCCGAGTGCTAGTATTACAGGCATGTACACCTGACCTTAAAATAAAATTTCTAATAGAAACTATATTATTCCATCTTTGAGAAAACCTTAAAAATAGGAAGAAATAGTAATATAACAATAATGCAACTAACATTTAGTCTTAGCATACACTGGGCCCTGTATATCCTAAACACATTACTTTTCTTGTTTAATTTTCTCAATTCCAGGAGAATAGATACTTTTGTATTCTTCATTTATCTATAAGAAAATTAAGCTTAGAGATGTTACTTATTCAGGATTACTCAGCTAATAAATGATGACCCAGGATTTAATCTTAAGTAGTCATTCTCCACAACCAAACTCCTAACCATACTTTACTGCCTGTTTTATTATTGGCAAATATATTTATCTGATGACATAACTGTAAAAGCTGGTTTAAATGCCCTTTTACCTAAGATCCATATGCCCCCTCTAATAAATAAAACTTGCTATTTATCTAGTGGTTAAGGTTATTCATTCCTTCTTCCATTCAATTAATAAAAATCTCAATACCTACTATATACAAAATACTAAATAGGTGCTAGAAGCACAAATACAAATAAATCCCTCAAAGCACTTGCATTCTAGTTGAAGACAACGGAAATGTAAACTAATTAAGTACAGTAAAGTGCTATAAAATATTTTGATATAAAGTGCACAGGTCATGGTGTGAGTACAAAAAAAGGGACATGTGTGTAACTGGAACAAGGACATTGCCTTGTTACACCACGTTCTCCCACAGTTTACAAAGAACAGTAGTAGAAAATTTGATATTTTCCTTATAAATGCAAGTAATATTTCTTTGGAGGAAAAAACATATGTTTAGGTCATTGGATAACATTAGAATCCTGAAATCTGTAAGTAGCATTTTAAGGGAGAATATTTACTTTATCTGTAGTTTTCATATAATCATAGTATAGTCCTAGGGTTCAAATCCATCCTTCCTCTGCCCCTGGGGACAAAATCCATTAATCAATTTCTTTCTTTTTGTGTGTTTTTCAACACTTGAATATGGCCCTGCCACTAAATAGATCATTTGAGGGAGAGAGACATCTTTTTTTATTTTCTGAGATAGTCTCACTTTACTGCCCCAGGCTGGAGTGCCATGACCTTAGCCTAACTTATAGAAACCTGAAACTCCTGGGTTCAAGTGATCTTCTTGCCGCCTCAGCCTCTCTAGTAGCTGGAAGTATAGGTACTGGCCACAATGCCTGGCTAATTTTTCTGTTTTTACCAGACAGGGTCTTGGCTCTTGCTTAGGCTGATCTCAAACTCTCGAGTGCAAGAGATCCTCCTGCCTTGGCCTCCCAAAGTGCTAGGATATAGGTGTGAGCCCCAGCCCCAGACCAAGGCATCTTTTCTTTAAAATCCAGACTCTTCCTTGATCTATCCTGTTTTAATGTACTTATAGTTTTCCTAAAAGTGGCTACCTTCTTTCAGTAGCAAAATTTTCAATCTTATCAACTCTCTTTAAAATATTTCTTAGAGAAAAGCTTAGGTTTCTCTGTTCTCTATTAATAAATGTTCTTAAAGATGACTCTGTTTTATATTCTTGATTATAAAAATAAAACTCTTTAATCACTGTATCACTGTGAAACACTTCTGCTTTGTTCCTTGTCTTCTCTTTGGTTGTGAGAATATAGATTATAAGCTTGGTAAAAGAGAGTAGTTTGTCAAAAGGTTTTTGTTTTTTGTAGAAGTAGATTTGTGATATGTAATATTAGTAAACTAAGGGAATGTGAAACTTGTTTTCCTTATGAAGCTGTTTCCTACCAAGAAATTAAATCTAAGTAATTATATATTTTTGGAAACCTCATTATTTCAAATGTAAAGTTTGTGGGGATGAGGTGGAATGGATTTAGTCAGCCAGGTTTGGCTGGTTTTCTTAAAGAAGTCTCAGGTACATTTGTTTCCATTCATCTGTACATGGATTAATATTTATAATCACTGTTTATCTTATGTACTATTTTAGAAAGTTCTTGGAGTTGTTTGTCTGGGGTTTTTTTGGCCGGGGCTGGGTTTGAACCCACCACCTCCAACATATGGGGCGGGCGCCCTACTCCTTTGAGTCACAGATGCTGCCCCACGTCTGTTAACTTTTTAATTTATTTATTTACTAAGTACACCTAATCAGTAATTTCCAAAATACTGCTCCAAACATACTCGGAAAGAGCATTTTGCTAATTTTGGTTATTTTTCTAAGCAAATATACTATTTATAGAAAGAGAGCAATCTTAATATAAGTCTGTGCAGAGTGATGTTCACTGAGAGTACTCTTATTCCTTTATTTTTCCAGATGTACCTCTTCATTTTCACTTTGAAACATTGTTTAAAAAGACTGAAATAAAAGGAGATCTTGCTGAAAATAAAATTGTAGGCGACTGTATCATATCTCCATCATCTGGTATGTCACATTTACAATTCTTGTATTTTATATTCCTTTTACACCCTTCATACTTATTATTTTTGCATTCAAATGAAATAAAATTTAACAAAATAAAAGTAAATCCTTAATTTTTAATATTCTCTTTCCACAAATCATGCACACACACACAAGTAGAAAATACAAAGGAACAATCTTACCAAGAAAGGTAACACATATTGAATGAAAAATTATGTAGTATTTGGGTAAATATAATGGAAAAATTAAACAAATAAACAAATATTGAGAAACAGCATTCCTGCATGGTAAGACTAATAAGGGTATCAGTTCTTCCTATTAGTATATATATTTCATGCAATGTTACTTAAAGTTCTAATAGAATTGCTTAAGTTAATAAAATAACTCTAAGGCCCACTGGGAAGACTTAAACAGGGAAAGATATCAAAGAAATTTCTGGAAAAGTATTGAGAAAATCTAGCCCAACCACATATGGAAACATGACAAAAATCTATGATAGCACAGATTCTATTTTGCTTATATTTAGGAAAATACATTGATAAAGTAGACTACATAGTTTATTAGAGGATTAGGGAAGAACCACATATCAATGAGAAAAGAAAATAGAGAACCATTAAGTCAACAATATTGTTATTCAGTATTCTAATACTATTGTTATTTATTCTTATTTTTTTTAAATTGAGACAGAGTCTCTCACTCACTGGTAGAGTGCTCTGACGTCCTGGCTCACAGCAACCTCAAACTCTTTGGACTCAAGTGATTCTCTTGCCTCAGCCTCTCTAGCAGCGGGGACTATAGGCACCTGCCACAATGCCCGGCTATTTTTTTTTTTTGCCTGGGCCAAGTTTGACCCTACCAGCCCTGGGGCATGTGGCTGGCACCCTAACCCTAATATTATGGTTGTTTAATAAATGAGTGTCCTGAGTATTTTTGTACACCCATTTTATATCATGAATGGAAATTAAAAAATCCAGTTAATTCCAAGGATTTTAAATAAAACATTTAAACTACAAAGTTAAATTTTAGTGCTCTGAATGAGAGTAAAGGCATTATCTATACTTAGAAGCAATTAGAAGAAAAACATTAGCATATTTTGATTAAACTCTTAACAGCAAAAAGTCATACAAACTAAGATAATTACTTCCAGTTGAAATAATCATCTACCTCAAAAAAGCGAGTCAAATGAACACCTGTTAGAATTCGAGTTTTATTTTAATAAATTTATACAGATCAGCAGTGTTTATAAGTACCAGCAATAACTAGATAGCATATATAAGGAAATAAACTATGCCAGACAAACTGACAAGGAAAATATCAAATATTTTGGATTGAACTTAACAAGGACGTAACATGAAGAACATTTCAAAAGTTTACTGGGGAGTTCAAGAGGACATTCCTAGGAGAGAAATTTCCTGGTCCAAAACAGTACTATAACATAAGAATGTCAGTTTTCCTCAAATTAATTTATAAATAGAATGTAATTCTAATCAGAGTGATAGAGGTATTATTCTTTTGGAACAAAGTTATTCTAAAGTTTCTATCAGAAGGAAGATGTTGAAGAGTAGCCAATAAAATTTCTAAAAGACTAATAAGTGTCAGATATCAAAATGTACTATAAAGTTATAATCATTAAAATGTGGTACGGTGAAAGCCAGATCAAGGGAACTAAATTAAAAGCCTAGCGACAGACCTCATGGGTTCATTATATGACAAAGTGGTATTTCCTATCAGCGTGAAAAGGACAGCATAGTCAATAAATAATGACAACAGATTCTTCTGAAGTACTCCTTATAGGCAAACACTGATTGAAGGGCTTTTATTAGTTAATTCTTTTAATCTGCACAACCCTGTGTGATAGGTATTTTCATATTCTGCTTGACTAATAACCTTCCCCAAATCACATTTCAGCAATGGAAAGCCAGGATTCCAACACAAGCAATGTGGCTTAGAGCCATGTGCTAATCAGTGAAGTTACCTCTATAATTGGTGGTGTTAAATAATGACCCTTTGGAAGAAATAAAAAAGAGATCCCTGTCTCATGCAGCACAAATTTAAGATGAATAAACATTAAAATACACTTCAGGTAGATTAAAGAGTTAAATGTTAAAAACAGGTATCTTAAAAGAATTAGGAGACTAGAACTAGATATACCTGATGATAGTAATAGCTAACCTTTACTGAGTGCTTATGTCAGACACTTTGAATATGTTTTTGCCTATTACACTAACAAATTTTAAAAACGTAATGATCAATTCTGGCATGACTCCAGTAAACTTCACACCCTGCAGTATTTCAGATAATTAAGAATTGATATGAACCTTGGAAGCACTGTGACACACATTACAAGGTCTTTAAACTATGTATTCTTTTTATAAGCTCAGTGTGGTTAAAAGGCTCCCTTGCTTACTTTTTGTATCTGCTTAAAATAAATGTTTACTGAACTGTTAACTGTATTTTGACCCAATTATTCCATTTTCAATCCTACTATAATCCTAAGTATGAAGCAATCTTTATTTACAACTATATTCATCTTAACACTTTTTGGAATAATGAAGAACATAAGGATGTGGTTAATTATATACTATAGTGCAATATGGAACCTTAATATCTTGGAAGTTCATATAAGGATGAAAACATATTTTTCAAAGAATGTTATGATAAAGAAGGATGAAAAGGTTTTACTTCTATGTTTGCTACAATTATAACCATGTAGAAATGTTTATTCTTTTTTTTGTTTTGAGACAGACTCTCACTTTGTTGTCCTGGGTAGAGTGCTGTGTCGTCATAGCTCACAGCAACCTCAAACTCTGGACTTAAGCGATTCTCTTGCTTCAGCCTCCCAAGTAGCTGAGACTACAGGTGCCTGCCACAATGCCTGGCTATTTTTTGTTGCCTTGGTGTCATTGTTGCTTAGCTGCTTAGCTGGCCCAGGCCAGGCTTGAACCCACCACTTTTGGTGTATGGGGCTGGCGCCATAACCCCTCTGCTACAAGTGCCAAGCCAGAAGAGTTTATTCTTGTACCAACCAAATGCAAGGTGTAAACTGTTAAGATTCTTATTTGAAAAAAACGGCTGTATACACACACAAAATTTTGGAACAGCAATTTGAACATAAACTAGCTTAGATCGTTATTAATGAATTATTAACTTTGTTAGATCTAATGGTGCACTGAAGTTACATAAATATGCACACTTTATCAGTTAATTTGTTAAGAGATTCACACCAACATGTATGTAGATGAAAAGATGTTATTTGAGGTTTGCTTTAAAATACTCCAGCAAAAAAATGGTGTGAGAGCTGAAGCGAGATTGGTCATAAGTTGATGATTGCAGAAGCTGAAGGATAGGTTCATTATTCCAGTCTCCTTTTGTTTTTGAAATTTTTCCACACTAAAAAGTTGAAGAGAACAAGAAAAAAAAAAATGAAAACATTAAGAATGAAGAAAAATTGTCTATATGTAGGGGGGAAAGCCTAAAATACTATAAAGTATAGTTTATGCTTGGTTACTTTTTCATGATATAATTCCACTCACTGGAATTTATCCTGAAACTAAATTTTTTTCAAAGGGGAAAAAAATGTACTCATGAAGACGATTATTTCAACAATGTCTATAATTAGCAATACTATCATAATACTGAAAGGAGTATGCTAAAATGAAAATACATGCTGTGTTAGAGATGAGGTGAGTCTGTTCTAATGTTGTTCAACTATTTGATTTTAGAAAATAAGAGTGTAAATGTGTCAAGCACAAAATTAACAGTAATACTGTTCAATAATGCAATGAAAAGTTTCATCATTTATGTCTTAAGTAGCTGAGTCTTAATTTTTCCTTTACTGCTAGTGATTTCTATAGAATTAAAATTAAGGGTGAGCACTATTATCCACCTCCTCTGTGCCAGGCAGACTATTAAATGAAGAATCAATGGTGAATCATAGGAAATCAAAGAAATTGTAATGTAATAGGGGGAAGACACCAAAACTATTCTATAAAGGAGGAGTATGTGCTCTGCCTAGAAGCCAGAAGAGAGGTTAAGAAAGATAAGGAATGGGCAAAGACACGAACTCCAGAATGATGGTAAGGCCAAGTGTAGCTTCAACTACTTACCTGGAATTTAGAGGAAGGAGGATGAAGTGTTGCATATTGGTGCTTCTCAAATTACTTGAGGGATGTTATGAGAATGCAGATTCTGACTCTTTAGGTCTAGAATAAAGCCTGAGAGTCTGCATTTCTAACAAGGTTGCCAGGTGACTCAAATGCTGTTGGCCCATACTGAGTATTAAGGCTTTAAATAATGGAAATAAACATATATCCTTGTCATGGAGACATGAAACAATGTGATGTGTTCAGGTATCTACAAATAGCTTGGTATTCCTGTAGGGGAAAGTGTATGAAGGTAAGTAGACAATCTTTGTATGCCTCACCACTAGCCTGGATTTAATCATGGTTAAACTTTACCACTATAATAGCACTGCTGACTTCAGGGAACAAGGAAGTAGGGAAAAGCCAAATGGTGAGTAGATGATTCTCATCATGAGGAAATACCAGACAAAACTAATTTAAGGGCCTGAACTTAGCAAAATATTCAAGGTTACGGAAGAAGGAAAAAAGTGGAACTGTCTGATACAAGATTTTAAAGAGATCTGTCAACATAAGGAGTGATCATAATTTTCTATAAGTCTATGGATATTGGGCAAAATCTGAGTAAGACAACCTGTAGATTAGCTAATGCTATTTTTTTATTTCACTATGTGAGAGGATGTCATTATTTTTGAGAAATATGCATCAATGTATTTAGGGGTAAGGGAACATCATGTCAGCAACTTAACTTCATTTGAGTTTAATGGTAAAGCAAATGTGGTAATTTAACCTTTGTGAAATCTGAGTAAGGGTATATAGGAATCCTTGTACTATTTCAAATTTTCTGTAATTCTGAGATTATCAATAATAAAGTTTTATTTTTTGAAGAGTGGATGAGAAACATGACAGAACCGTAACCTACATGAGTAAGCCATCTCTTTAACCCACACTTCCAACCTAAACCAATGCCGTTCTGTCTTAACGTTTCAAATCTAATATCTTCATTTCTACTTTCATTGTCCAACGTAATGCTCTTCTATCTACACTGCTGACATAGCTTTCTAATGAATTTTTAATTTTCCTTCAATCACTTTAGCCAGATTGATCTTTTCAAATCACAAATTTCATTACGTTATGCTGCTCCCCACCCAAATTCCTTTTGAAACATTTGGATTTTTTTTTTAAGCAACACATTGCAAACATAAGGGAGTATTCTTAACAGGACTCTTAAAGCCCTATCCACATAAGCCGGCTCCTGCCTGCTGGTGTTTGTTTCATCATACTGTCTTACTGTACACGATAGCTGTTCAGTTCCTGAATCTGTCCTGCTTCCTTTGAAAGCCATTGCACATGTGGTTCTTCCTTCCCTACCCCAGCTTTTGTCCGTATTTGAAATCAGTTCATCTGGGAAAGTCTTCCTAGAGCTCTTCCTAGCTCTCTATTTATAAACTGAGTCACACAGTGTACTTCTCTTTTCTATCACATTATAGTTACATCCTTTGAGGAACATCTGTAAACTACAAGGCCTGGGACCAAGCCTGCTTTTGCTTTTAGAATGGTGCTTGTCATGTAATTGGCTCCCTCTACAAACCTATCACTTGATTAAATAAAAAGGGAGAAGTAATGACAGGAGACAGGAGAAATGCTCTGTCAATGTGTGTTAGGAGGGACACCAGGAGAGGATTTGGGAGATCAAGAACTGAAGTTAAGATTTCGTTCACAAAGTTTGATACGCTTCTAGAACAAAAGTTGTGAACTGCTTGTAGATTTGTAGAGGGTGTCTTTTACTTAAAAAACAGTATGTTCTCATTAAAACAAGAGTGGACACTAACTTCTTGAAGCACATGTGCCAGGAACACATATTTTAAAATCTAGTGCTCACAATTCCAGTTACTTCTTAATAGACGTTGAGTTTAGGATTACTGCTGCCAACTTGTTTTCCATTTAACATCTTTCCCTTTTGGGGCGGGAGTGGTAGGAAATCTTGGGGACAACCTTAGGAATTCTGCCTATCATCTTCCCTGAGATATTTAAAGTCACTGTTTTCTTACATCTAGTTCCGCCCTGTAAATCTAATTTGCATTCCTTTGCAGTCATCTTTTTTTAATCCCTTCTAAAGTATACCTTCATCTGTGATGTGGTTATTTTTTTCATTTGCTGTTTGACATTCAAATGAGTTCTTTGAAATCTTACTGTTAAATTAGTATCACTGATTCTAGAATTTTTTAAGTATTTCCTCCCCTTCATGATGTTAACATGTTTTGATTTTTTCTTACCCCATACTGTGTATCACTCTATACTAACAAGTTGTACAAATCCTTTTCCAGACCCTTTATTTTGGTTTTCAACTGTATCCATTCTATTACTTAGCCCAGTTACTGAATTCTTGTTTCTTTAAAGTGATGGTCTTCCTAGTCTCCCCCAGCTGGAATCAAGCAATCTTCCCACTTCAGCCTCTTGAGTAGCTGGAATTACAGGTGCAAGCCACCACACCCAGCTCATTCATTAATATTTGAATGATTATACTTTGTTTCTGAGATTTTGCTAGAGGGGTCATTTGCCTGTTTCTCTTGGCAACATTAGTTGTTTTAAAGACTGTATTCTGGGTGGCGCCTGTGGCTTAAAGGAGAAGGGCACCAGCCCCATATACCAGAGGTGGTGAGTTAAAACCCAGCCCCAACCAAAAAAAAAAAGACAATCTTCTGTCAATGCTCCATTAACTGTTTCTTGAGATGGTTCTTCCACTTGTACTTACTCGTTTGCAGTGTTGGTATTCAGACTTTTGATTGTATGCTCATCATTAAGATTGTTCTACTACCACTGCTGTTTGTGGGAGCCATGTAATGGGTAGGGTAGATTTGTATTTTATTAAAGCCTTCAAAGCTGGGGTAGGCAGAAGTGCGACACCTGGACATTGCCTTCTCTCTCCATCTATTTCTCTGCCCAAAAGCTGATTCTGACAGCCTGGCTGAGATACTGGCATGTGTAGCCAAGATATCATTTGCTCCAGATATTGTCTTGCTCCCAGATTTCCTTTTCTCTCTGGGTCTAGAGCACCTGGATTGACCACAAACTTTTGTGCAGTACTTTGCCATGTGCTTCCTCTTCAAATTCCATGTTTCTGTCTCTCACTGATTTCTCACTAATTCTCCTTTATAAGTTCTTTTTTTAAAATTTGCAAATGTAGATATGTGTGTATCTGTGCAGTTCCTATGTATAAAAACTTTGTCGAAGGTGCTTTATCATCTTGAAACTAGCCTCCTGGTCACTGTTCATAAGGCCACGCCCTTAATTTCAGTGCCTGTGAGTTTGGTACTTCTGCCTACATTTTTTGTTTTTTCTAATATTCCTTTCCACATCTCCAACTCTTTAAAAAAATAAAAGAGCCAATTTGGTCATTGCATCAGTAGTGGAAATATGAAGTATAGGTAGACAATTTTCATGATGACAAAGGTAACATTTCCTGAACACTTTGTCAAATGTACTTCTATTATTACAAGAATTAACTCATTGGATCCTCACAACCCGAAGATAGCTGCTGTTACTCCTCTTTTACAGATGAGGTAACTGAGGCAGAAAGTAAAGCTGTATTAAATTCATTGTTTTGAAAAAGTGAAAGAACAGTACTAGTCATTGTCAGAAGTGGATGAAATCTGATTCTTGTTCTCAAGGAGTCCCAGTTTGTTGCGACCCTATTGAATCTTCCTTGGTCCTGAATTCTTTCCAGATTTAAGGGTAAGCAAGAAATTAAGGATTCAGATCACATTCACCCAAGATCTGAACCAATCCTCAGTCTATACATTTTGCAGTTGGAAGACTTTGAGAACAGACCACCTTTCCTTTTCAACCCCTTCAAAAAATGCAGTAGTATAGGAAATTGGGCACTTCCTGAGGATGTCTTGAATCCTGCTCAGGTATTTTTAGTTTGAGTTGTGTAATTTTGAACGGTTATTTTAAAATTCTGCACTGGTATAAATAAAAACAGATTAACATGTTCACTATGTGTTAAGGAACTAAAATTTGGTATTTCCTTCTCATTTTAGTACATAGCACTTCTCTAAATCAATGGAGAAATGGATATTCACCTACATGTAAACCTCAAATAAGGTCAGAGTCTTCTACACAACTGTTACAAGGAAGAAAGAAAAGACACTTGAGTGAAACAGCATTAGGTAGGTTAAAACGAAGACATGAACTAGTGCTAAATATTGAAAATAAAAAAATTCTGACCCTCAAAGAACTCGTCTCATGAGACTTTATAATCCAGTAGTCACTATATTACACAAAACATTAAATAAACATATTACATATGAACATTAAATAGGTTCTTCATGTAGTTAATTCAGAGTTTCTACTTTATGGCAATTATTTCCTTCCTGTATTTGCCGACTAGCTGTTTTCTACAAACTGTCCTCTGAACAGGTTTTAGTCTCCAAAGTTTATTCTTTTTAGTTTTGTGAGAAAGAGACTCACTCTGTCCTCTGGTGCCCTGGGTGGAGTGCTGTGGTGTCATAGCTCAAAGCAACTTCCAACTCTTGGATTCAAATGATCCTTCTACCGCCTCCCAAGTAGCTAGGACTACAGGTGCCCGCCACAACCCCCAGCTAATATTTTTATTTTTAATAGAGACTGGGTCTCACTGTGCTCAAGCTAGTCTCCAACTTGTGACCCCAAGCAGTTCTCCCACAGTGCTAGAGTTACAGGCATGAGTCACCACATTCAGCCCCAAAGTCGTATTCTGAACTCAAAATAGGCTAGTGAAGATGTTTGAGTCACTGGAGATTCCTCCAGATTTTGACAGCATCAACAAGATACAACTAACCACCTTGTTCAATTCTCCTTAGGAGCCTATAAATGCCAAGAGTTCAGAGATGACCAAGAGATATGTTTGGAAATTAGAACTCTTCTAGCAATACAGACTGAAATTTGTTGTGGAGGTTTGAAAAAGATGGTTGCCAATTATTGCTAATGATAAAAAAAACTGGCAAGATAAATTACAAACTAATTATATGCAAGATATACTAGACTATGATTATACACAATGGATTTAATACTTATCTCTAGTGTCTTTCTTTAGAAATCCCACCACAACAGACCAAGTCACTACTGACTTGATCACTACCTACCTGATCAATAATTTTCTGTAGCACAAAATTAACAAATTCCTACACTTTCCAGACATTTTGTTATGCTTTTTAGTGTTTCACTCTTAAGAAGAGATAACCAGACTGGGCACAGTGGCTCACAGCTATAATTCTAGCACTCTGGTAGGCTGAGGTGAGTGAATTGCTTGAAGTTAGGAGTTCAAGACCAGCCTGACCAAGAGGGAGACCCCGTCTCTACTAAAAACAGAAAAACTAGTTGGGTGTGGTCAAGCATGCCTGTAGTCACAGCTACTCAGGAGATTGCAACAAGATCACTTGAGACCAGGAGTCTAAGGTTGCTGTGAGCTATCAAGACACCATGGCACTCTATCAAGAGCAACATAGTGAGACTTTGTCTCAAAAAAAAAGATAACCAAGACTCACCTTGCATTTCCGGAACTTTCAGATGTACATACCCAAACATAGAAAGCTTTTTATTTTTTTCTTTTTTGAAACAGAGTCTTACTTTGTCACCTTGGGTAGGGTGCCATGGCATCATCATAGCTTACAGCAACCTCAAACTCTTGGGCTCAAGAGATCCTCTTACCTCAGGTTTTCTATTTTGTTACTAGAGATAGGTGTCACCTTGCTTAGGCTGGTCTCAAACTTCTGAGCTCAAGCAATCCACCCACCTCAGCCTCCTAAAGTGCTAGGATTATAGGCATGAGCCACCCTGCCCAGCCTAAAAGAAAGTCTCTTAAAAAGAAGTGCATTAGTAAGTATGGTGGCACACACCTATAATCTTAGCACTCTGGGAGGTCAAGGCAGGAGGACTACCTTGAAGCTCAGGAGTTCAAGACCAGCCTGAAACAAGAGCAAGACCCTGTCTCTACTAAAAAAACAAACAAAAAACAGAAAAATTAGCCAGGTTTTGCCTGTAGTCTCAGCTACTCTAGAGACTGAGGGAGGAGGATAGTTCAGTTGAGAGGTGGCTATGAGCTAGCCTGATTCTAAGGTGCTACACCTAGGACAACAGATTGAGACTCTATCTTAAAAAAGAAAAGAAAAAAGGATGCATTATGAAATAGTCATTATATTTGTAAGTAAGATGTAAAAAGAACTAAGTTCCATGAATTGACTAATTCTTTATATCTAACTTTGAGTTTGATGTCAATACGCAAATAAAACAAATGAAATGATAAACTACAAATAATCAGATAACTCCAAAAGTGTGGGAAATGGGGTGTAGTCTGTCACAAGCCAGTGTCATTTTAAGGAAAAAAAAAATCCTAGACTATAAAATAACTAGGAACAGTAACCAATTTCAATATGTGGATGCTGATTTGAAGAAACTATCCATAAAGAACATTTTTTTTAACAATTAGAGAAATATAAATATGGAATTAGTGTTAGATTTTCATTATACAGAAAAATATTGTTTCATAAGATATGCAGTAAAGTAAAATAAACAGGGCAGTAAATGTGTGAGTAAACAAATATATTAATTTACAATTATACATAGGGAAGAAGAACTTGGAGGAAATAGCTAATACCAATCAGTAAACTTCTAATCAGTGTCCTGAAAGAAAAGAAAAATTTCATCTACTAAACAGTGAACAGCAGAGAAGTACTTTTAGAAATTAGTACTCTGCCAAGCACAGTTTACATCTGTAATCCTAACACTTTGGAGGCTGAGGTGGAAGGATGGCTTGGGCCCAGAAGTTTGAGGTTACAGTGAACTCTGATTATACCATGAAACTCCAGCCTAGACAACAGAGGAAGACCTTATCTAAAGCAGAGCAAGACCCTATCTAAAAAAAAAGACAGAGAGAGAGAAAAGAAAAAAAGAAAGAAATTAGTACTTTAATAGTGATTTTTCAATAATCCTGCATGTTAGGCTGGGCGCAGTGGCTCATGGCTGTAATCCTAGCACTTTGGAAGGCAGAGGCAGGTGGATTGCCTGAGTAGTTCGAGACCAGCCTCAGCCAGAGCCAGACTCCGTCTCTAAATATAGCCAGGCGTTGTGGCTGGTGCCTGTGGTCACAGCTACTTGGAAGGCTGAGGCAAGGGGATCACTCGAGCCCAAGAATTTGAGGTTCTGTGATGCTATGGCTTCTGCTGAGGGCGACAAAGTGAGACTGTGTCTCAAAAAAAAATCCAGCATGTTTCAGAAGATTTAGTTAAGGACACATTACAGAAATTAGAAGTCAGATGTGAAAAATAAAACAGATAATAAGAAATTAAGATCAGTCCTGAAAGTTCAACTTTTCATTGAAGTCATAGAAAACAACAGAATTAAGAGGGGGGATGACCTTATAATACGATATATACTGTACAAAAACTGCCAAGGCCCCAGAAAATGGAAATACTCAAGGCAGGACTATGGTAAGGCCCCTCTCTTTTCATTTTCTTATTTTGTTATGTTTACTGAAACATGCATTAAAGAAAAGATAAGGAATCAATCACCATCACCTTATTAGAAAAACAATTCTATTACCAATTTGTGACATTCTCAATGGTTATTTCTATGGCAGGAGAAAGAACTAAATTTGAAGAATTTGCTTTTCAACACACAGAACCAGGATCCTATAACAACTCTACTGCTGTTTGTAATGTCAACATTATATCAAGAACCCAGAATTCATCATCACAAGTAGGTTTTTAGCATAATAAACTGTATGTAAAATCACCTGATTTTTAAAATAATTTCTAGATTTTTTTGTAAATCTATAACAGACGTATTTACTAGGATATTTATAATTAGCTTATTAAGAAAACAAATTTGATTAAGTACAACTTTTTAATAGGAGTCTAACAGTTCATTAATCTTTGGCTACAGCTCTTACTCTGAATTAAAAACTTAATCATGGCCATCTCTACTCTTCAACATATGAAGCTAAATATAGTTTTGCTAATAAGAATTTAAGACTTGTTGATTGTTTTTGTTTTTGTTTTTGTTTTTTTTGGTCATCTGGCCAGGGAGGAGAACAATCACAAGGTGAGAGGGTTTAGGAATGAACAATTGGAAGCTTGGAGGCCAGGAAAACACCGATGAAAGGTGTAACAACTATCTTTAGAAGGGCTTATCAAAAAAACTTTCATCACTGTTCCTAACAAAGAGTTTGTTAAACAATCATTTCAATGACATCAGAGTGCTTTATGTTAGTGTTTTTTGATAAAAGTTCTACATTTTAAGCCATTCTTATTTTCTATGGGCTTAAAAATAAGCTTGTATTGGCTCAGAGCCTGTGGCTTAAGTGGCTAAGGTGCCAGCCACGTACACCTGAACTGGCGGGCTCGTATCCAACCTGGGCCCACCAAACAATGACAGCTGCGACCAAAAAATAGCCAGGCATTGTGGCGAGCACCTGTGGTCCCAGCTACTAGGGAAACTGAGGCAAGAGAATCGCTTAAGCCCAGGAGTTGGAGGTTGCTGTGAGCAGTGATACCATGGCACTCTACCCAGGGCAATAGCTTGAGACTCTGTCTTGGAAAAAAAAAAAAAAGCTCATATATTTATGCTCATAAATACACATTACACACCTGTCAATAGTGTGTGGTTTGCTAATGAGAAAAACAAAGGATAGGAATATTTCTTAATTGTTTTTCTTAACATTTATAGTCAGATTTCATATTTATAAAAATTATATAACAGCTGTGCTACCATATTGTTTATCTAACTCATGAAAGGAGGATATCATCACAAGTAACCAGATAGAAGTATAAAATACTGATACTACTTAAACCTCAGACATTACTATGTCCTGTTTTACAGAATGCTGCACGACGGAGATTGAGAAGTGAGAGCTCTTATGACATAGATAACATTGTGATTCCCATGTCATTAGTAGCACCAGCTAAGTTAGAGAAACTCCAATATAAGGAAATACTTACTCCAAGGTGTGTATACTTACATCTTTTTATTTCTTTCTTCCTTTCTTCTTTAATAAAGTTAAATCTTCAAACTAGAATTTTAGTTAATAAAGGGAGGATGCTCCCCGGCCCCCAAACTTGTATAGCCACAGAGGGAAAATAGTGAAAGAAACCATTACATTACCTATGCTAAAGAAAAAGTGCCAGGCGATGCCTGTGGCTCAGTAAGTAGGGCACTGGCCCCATATACTGAGAATGACGAGTTCAAACCCAGCCCCAGCCACACTGCAACAAAAAAATAGTCAGGTGTTATGGCGGGCACTTGTAGTCCCAGCTACTCAGGAGGCTGAGGCAAGGGAATCGCTTAAGCCCAGGAGCTGGAGATGCTGGTGAGCTGTGTATCGCCACGCACTCTACCGAGGGTGATGAAGTGAGACTCTGTCTCTACAAAAAAAAAGTGAAAAAGTGCCAATTTTTAATTTTCCTAAGAATAAGGAATTACTAAACTTATTTGCTTTAGCATTCTTGGAGTCTTTTTTCATTCAGTGACATTTTGGTATCATTGGCACTAAAAGGTACTTCAATTGTACAAAAACTACAATAAAAAATTCTTGCCCTTAAAGATAAGAGGTGTGCACAAAGTTGCAAAAAGAATTTTAAAAAGCAAACGACTACCTTTGTATGGGGTAGTCACTGTGACAACAAAAATAAGATGTGACTGTATTCCAAGTCAGCAAAAAACACATTAAATAGAATGATGAGGTGGGTGGGTCTGGGCAGATAGCCATACAGGAAGGGGCAGGTGAAGAGGAAGTTCCCATAGGGAGACCACAACAAAGGCACACAGATGTAAGGCTTAGCCAGACGTAGAGGTTTTGTATAAGTTGACAAAAGAAGCTAAAAAGAAGTTAGACCCAGATTGCGGAGGTCCCTGATTGTCATATATGTCTGCATTCTCTTGGTACTCACTTAGCTCAATTTTTTAAGAGATGAAAGCAGTTTCTTAAGAATATGAATATAGTACCAAGAAGTAAAGATAGAAAAGGTTGGAAATAGACATAAGATGGGTGACAATGACATTTAATTCCTATTACCTGTATTCTGATTTCATTATTTATTTCGTAAAAGTTGAGACTGTCTCTAAAATAAAAAGAACTCTAATACTCCAGGAGGTATTATGAGAACTATAAAGAATGTCTTGATACTTTCTACATAAGGAATAACATTTGCAGTTATGATGCTCTGCAGCAAAATGTTTTTCAGCTTGCAGCAGAAGTTAAACACATGATGGAAGAGTTCTGTCGCCTGGCTATTTAATTATTGGTAGCTCAAAGGGGCCATGATAGGTCTTTTTGCATGGAAGAAATAAGAAAACACTACAAATCAAGAGCTATTCTCCTGTCTCACCCCCTTTTTTGGTTTAGCCAGTGTTGTATTAGCACAGCACTTACAGCCTTCATTCAAAGTCAGTTCATATGTATTATGCATAAAACGTAGCTCTGCAGAACACACAGCTCACTGTAAGGCCAAAAATAAAGCCTTATCTTCCGTTGTCCTATTTTTGCAACATAAATATTTCTTCTATTTAGCTGTACTTAGAGAATAAAACTGCTAAATTTGAACAAATAAACACTGTTTGAAACTTGTATCTCCAACAGCTGGAGGAAGGTTATTCTTCAGCCCCTGGACAAATGTAACCTAGGTGTGGAAGAGGTAAGTTGCCTTTTACTTAATGGCATTAATAAATATGAATATTTATAAAATACTTAATTTTATTTAATGGCATTAATAAATGAGTATTTTATTCATATTATGAGTTATGAAGCCTGCTTACTGTGACATCCAAGGAACTAAAGGCAAAAATAAACCCTTTAACTTCTGATTTTTTTCTTTACACTTATAAAAAGAAAGTTCTTCAACAAAGACATTAATTAAAAAATAACTTTTTGTGTAAATCTGACCACAAAGATAACAGATAATTAATTATAAAGGAATTTTTTAAGGCAAAACTAAAATATAACTGTCATTTCAGAATCTTAGGGCCAATTTGCTTTGAATTTGGAAAATTTCAGACTATAGAAAAGTAATTGATATAAAGGCTAGGACAGTTCTTGTAACATTAATGAAACATTAATGTTTTTGTAATGAAATGTTCATAACTGGGGTCAATTCTAAAAACAGCCTCACACTGTATCAGATCAGGCTGTCTGACCAAATTATGAAAAACTTGTTTTTTCAGGCGCATCACCCGTAGCACAGTGGTTACGGCGCCAGCCACATACACTGAATTTGGCGGGTTTGAGAACCCAGCCTGGTCCAGCTAAACAACAATGGCAACTGCAACAAAATATAGCCGGGCATTGTGGCAGGCACCTGTAGTCCCAGCTACTCGGAAGGCTGAGGCAAGAGAATTGCTTAAGCCCAAGAGTTTGAGGTTGCTGTGAGGTGTGATGCCACAGCACTCTACAAAAAACCCCCAAAAACTTGTTTTTTCAGATTTTGGAATTACAGGCCTGTAGGCCTTTATGGGTAAAATTACATCAAGACAAGAGTGATTATAGAGAAAAATACTTTATAACTAAACAAATTAAAAGGTGATGGCCTCTTGAAGCAGTATTATGTTGAAGACGTTGGATTTTTGTCAAGTCACAACATTTCTATCCCTGGTGCTCATGTTTTTCACCTACTAAAAGTTACCTTTTAATGCCTTTCTTCTTCTAATGTATTCTTCCTTACTTCTGAATGATCCTAGCCAGAAATTCCAAATTCTTAATATAAGCAAAGTAGTTTTCCAGGTTAGAATTCCAGGGAAATCATTTGATAAATTAATTCTGACTTAACTCAAATAATCAGTTGTAGTTTCCTTTGCTATTAAAATGTACCGAGAACAGTGTGTGTTCCATAATGGACAACCAATGAAAACTATAGAAAACATGAAGCCTTATGACTTTGTAAGCTTTGTGGCAAATGCAAAGTACTGTGAACCCATTTATAATCTACCTAAATGTGTATCTCCAAACACGAACCAATAGTGAAAAAGTTTTCAAGCAAGTTTTTGACTACCATTTTTTCAGAAATCTGAAGCTCATCTGTTTTCTCAACTTATACAGATTGTATCTATTTTAGGGTTTGCTTCCTACTATTCTCTGGATGAGGAATTATTTGAAACTTATTTTCATGTTTTAAAATGTTTTTGATTAAAGCAAAAATATTTCTAATCACAGATAGAAGATCTTTCTGATGACATCTTCACCCTAAGACACAAAAAATACGAAGAGAGAGAGCAAGCCAGGTGGTCATTATGGGAGCAAAGCAAGTGGCACAGAAGAAACAACAGGCAAGTGCTACAAATTTAAATTACAAACCCAGGGAATCCACGTGGAATGAACAAAAATTCTAAATGAATTCTAGGGGAAGACCACTAAAAAGGAAAACATAATGATGCAACACCAGCTATTTGTGTACTAGAAATAAAACACTACATATATTGACTATATATTCAAAATATATTTGGGCTATATACAAAATGATGAAATGAGTTTCTGTATTCTATCTACATTCTATTTCTTGTAATCATTGTCAGGTTCAGTAGATTTAAATAACAAATAATATGAAAATTCTCTCTATAAATAAAGTAGATCATTTCAGTCTACTCTAATAGTGGACCTAATACTGGGAAATGGAAATCTGGGTAGTCCATTTTAACATAACTACTTAAAAAATATGTTTTTCCTTATAAAAAACAATTTCTCAAGAAACCTATCCAATCTAAGAAACAAACAGTCCAAACTAGTTTTAAAAATACAAATAGGCTTTTCTGTAGGCAGATAGGTGGATTTAGGAAAAACAAGAACAACAAAAACCCAAAAAGGCTTTGAGCAATGGGAGAATAAATCATAGACATAATTAATAATTATAAATATTGAGAAAATCCCTGGTAATTTGTATTTACATCTGATTTTTAATATGGACAAAATTCACAAAGCAAGATCATGTGAAGTCTGATACTCATCTTTAGTTAAAGAGCATCTCATTTAATTAGTATTGTTAAAATACATCTCTCTGTATAGGTCTCAGATTTGCTGTAGGCCTTGTTCTAAGAGTTCTAACACAATGAGATTCTATAATTCCCATCCTTTTCCACATTTCAAAGATAAAACTTTCTTAAAGTACACACAGAAATATGAATTAGGTCTTTCATGGATGACATTAAAAAGCCCACTATTATAATTTGGCAAAATATTCCAAAACTTACTATTTTAATCTTTTGAGGCATGAAAATAATGGCATTAGAAAGTTCATCTGATGAATTTTTGAACAATATTTTATGTTTAAAGAAAAGCTATCAAGTTTAGCTGACTTAGTGATACCTGGGATTTGTTCATAAAATGTTAAGACCTCAAAAAATAACAAGTAATGATATATTTTCTTGATTTTCTTCCTAGAGCTTACAGTAAAAATGTTGAAGGACAGGACTTACTTTTGAAAGAATACCCTAATTACTTGAGTAGCAGTCAGCACTGTGCTGCTGAAAGTCCTCCTGAGCTTCTTTCAGAGAACTATGATCTGTGCACACACAGTTCACCTTCTTTAAATCAAAGTCAAGAAATCAAAGTAAGTATAATACGTATCATTTCTTAAATCTTAAATTTCTTTTACTTGCCTTCTAACCTTTGTTTTTACTTGTTTGTATAAACTGCTTATTACAAATTGTTCACTACATAAATTCAGTAAAGACAATCAGTAGAGAATGGCAGGTAAGAATCAAGGTCTGTATTCCAGCATTCTAGTTCTGTCACTAACTACACTGAATTATCTTTTTGTCTAACACTATCAGCACCAACTTCTACCTATTCACGTATCTGTTAGGGAATGGGGATACTATCAAAGTTCCATTACAAAACAAATCTAATTAATGAAGAATAGAACCTGATACACAATGTCAGTAAGATTTTTGCTTGTCTCCCCATTGATCCAGTGCCTACCTCAAGGGGAGTGTTTTCTAACACTGCATCCATTAAGTCCATGCACTTGTCTTCATAAATAGGAGTTGAAAAAGAAGAACCAGATCTAGAATGGAGAGAGGAGAGACTACAGAAGTTAATAAGTTACAGAAAACTTAGGAAAAAAAATCAATAGGTATCTGTAATAACGATAGGATAAATGAAGACAGTGAAGTAGAAGCAGATCAAACTTTCAAAGAGTCTTAAGGGGGCTTTCCCAAAGTGCTCTTGGGCTGAAAATGTAGACCAGTCCCTACAGCAGCATTTCCTCTTCTTGGCAGAGGCAAAGTAAAGAAATAATTACTAAAGGTCACTAAACAGTTCCCAAAAGACCAGAACAGTTATTACAAAATTGGAATTTACATATTACATGATAAGATGAATTTAAACAAAACAAATTAGTTGAAACTTAACTGAAAATGTTTCCCCTTTCAGTCTTTATGGTGGGAACGACGGGCTTTTCCATTGAAGGATGAAGATGCAGCAGCCTTATTATGCCAAGATGAAAACAAGGATCAGATTGAAATGTCAAGCACAGTTTCTCACGGTGAAATCTTCTGTACCAGTGTTTTAGAGAATGGCCACCACCCCAAAAAACAGTCAGATAGAATGGAAGAGTTCAAAACCTTTGGTCTAGGACTTACTAATGTTAAAAAAAACAGGTGACAGGGAACAGGTTAAGCAAACTACGTAAATGAAGGAAAGACAGGAGGAAAGGAAAAGCCCTGTTCTGGATGCCTGGGCCCTGTGGTCATGATTCCAGAATAAGAGCATGTGTTGCATGTGTCAGTCTTTTATGCTGTTCATGAAACAAGCAAGATAAGTCTCTCTTTCATTCTTGAACCACAACAGTAACTAGCTTTTCATCTGCAGACAAGTGCTAGTCATTTGTGTTTACCATGCAAATTACGAGCACCATGATGTTAACTGTTGCAATTGATGTGAAATCACATTATTGGGTAATTTTTAAGACTATACACTCACACATACACGTACTTACACACACACACACCCCTGTGTGTCAAATAACGATTTGATACACGTAGTTATTAATTAAAATTGCCTCAGAAATTATTAGCGTATACAAATATGTATCTATAAAACATACACAAATATGCACACATATACCTATGTAGTTTTAATAAAACACTGACAATGACCCACTCCACTTGGAAATGCATGTATGAACTACCCTGAAGTAAACTAGTGTAAGCTACAGTATAGAAAAAGCACGGGTTTCCCCTGATAAAAAGACATCTAAATCTTGAATACAGACAGAAGTTTCTTGTTTTTTCTTAAACATGTTTAACCAATAACAGAAATTACTTATGGAACTTCTTAATACCAGATAACACAATACTCCTTTATTCAAAAAAAATCACTGATACCCTTTGGACTAACCACAGGCTATACTCTGTTCATTCCTAACAGAATGAGAAAGTAAATGACAATTAAATGAGCACCAAACAAGAAAGTCCTATAAAGTTTTTAAAAAGTGGCTGTATTTCTAGCTAATGTGGTCATTCCTTGATATCACTTACCCTATTCACATAAGCACCTTTCATCCTTGCATCCTAGATTGAGGATTAAAATTTTTCAAAGGACAGTGCTTCAATATTGGATACTGAAGAGTGTACATTAAGGAAAATTCTTTTATAAGTGACTGTGCCATTTTTTTCTATGTGAAGTTCAGGACAATTTATCTAAATCAATTTTGTCATGTAAAAAAGGTTATTCAAGTGGTAGTACCCATATAACTGAAAATCGTGGCCATTTGGCTTCGTCTATGCAGTTTGACACTAAAGTTTTGGCCAGGGATTAGGAAATGATACTGGTCCCTCTAAAGGGGAAAAATTCAAATTCAATGCTGACAAACTTGCTTGTAGTTTTGCTGTACATTTATTTTTAAAGAAAAAGAAAACAAAAGCCAGACAAATTCAAATTGTCCAGGCAAATATACAAATCTTTGTCATGTCTGATAATTATAATCTTCTATGTAAGTTTTTTAATTAAAGTTATTTCTATATGCCTTGTGTTGTCTGATTCAATAAATGTCACCCATTAACCTTTCCTAACCCAAAACAATAAACGTTAAGAAATACATTTTAACCTTGTAGGAAAAAATGCAAGCAAGCTGTATTCTATGTTTACATGTTAGCATTCTTATTTTTGAAACCTTATTTCTCAAAACTCGTAATAGTTGCAGTTCTTTAATCATACTGGTCCTATTACTTCTGGTCATTATTTATTATATAGCAAGAGTATTGACAAGAAATGCTAGTAGCTGACACATGTGAATAGTCTCTGTATAATTTTGAATACAGTTATAAATATTTAGTTGATAGATTATCTCTGTACCCTGTCACCTTTTAGCCTACCTGGTCTTTCTTGGAATAAAATACATATCCTTGGTCAAGATCCATAGTTCCAGAATATTCTCAGCCATCTGGTTCCGCTATATGGTAAAGTTAGACTGGAAATAAGACAGTATTAAATAAAAACAAGCTTCTTTTGCTTAACCCATTTTCCATGGGTTCTAAATATAAAGGGTACAGACCAGAAATTCTATGCCAGTAGGATCTTTTCCATGCTACCATCCTATTTCTCAGCTTTAGTTTCTTCATTTTTAAAATGGGGACTAAATACCTGCCCTAGTACCACTTATAGGAGTGACTTATAGATTTAATGAGCAAGTATCGTTAAGTATTTTATAACCCACAAAACATAAACTCATATAAATAATGCTAGCCACTTTGTACTGAGCATATTCTAAATTCTAGAAATAGTAGTACGAGAAGTTTTACATACATAATGTTACCTCTTTCAATCCTCAACACAACTTTGCAGTGTTATAATTATATTCACTACTCACTGTGTGTAGTGAGGTAAGAAAAGCACAAGCAAGTTTGGGTGATTTGTTAAGGTCAAACAGCTAGTGAGGAGAAGAGTCAGGATTCAATCAGATAATACTTCCAAATACAAGCTTGAGTTTTCTCCTTTCTACTTAGAGCTAACCCAACAGCATTATTTAAGAATGATGGGTAAGGTTAAGAAAACCAGGAGTAAGGAATCATCAAATAACTTGCTTTGACAAAGAAAACCTCCTGATAAAAATCTATGCTTGTATTTTAAAACCCCAAGGCTTCACATATATTTTATCCTTTTTACAAATCAAATATAAGGTGAAAAATGTTTCTTATGAAAAAATATGTATGGTATGCCATTGCACTCAAGCTTACATTTTTAAATTCCATTCTACTTTTATCAGGCATATAAACAAATCACAAATAACATGAAATAGGGAAAACATAAGGATTTCCTTTGCATTTGGAAAACAGCTGAGAAACAGAAAATTTTTCATAGAAATACAAAGAATGTTTTCATAGTAGCTAATATGCCCGTGTGAGGCAGTAAGACATATTTCTATTTCCTTAATACAACTGTATTTTTACTCTCTATAAAAATCAAGTCTCCCAGTAAAAACTGAGTATTTCACCACCCTAATCTTTAAACTGCATCACTAAAAATGAGTTATACACACCAACTGCTAACCTCTTAAAACATTCTGCACAATAGATTTTAATCACTGGAATGAATAATTGTTTCAAAAGCTGTACTGCCTGAAATATGATTTGGTAGTCAATATTCCTGTTTTCCAGTAAAAAGGAGATTTCATGAGCAGAAACACTGAGCTTGTGGTTTCATCGATCAAGAGAACGTTTCTGAGCAGCTTCTGAGCAAACATTTCTTAATAGGTTGATCACAGATCTGGGGTCTTCACTCCTCATAATGGCACTGCCAGACACAATCATGTTAGCTCCTGCCTGGAAGAAGTAAACACTTAGATTAAGCCTCAAAGAAAGATGCAGAAGAGCCTAAAACAAAACCCCTGCACTAGAGTTTCTATTCCTGCATCTGTTAACACCTTAACTGCACAAAAGCTGCTCTGAGATGAGTGGACTTAAGCAATTCAGTTCAATGAGGAAGCTGAAATGTTCACAAATGAAGACATGAAATTACTTTTTAATGTGTCCATGAAATCAATGAATTTTGGTAAACCAACTTTAAAGAAGCTACATAGTATCTCTGCAGATATTTAGATAAGGTTTAAAACCCTTTACTCCTCAATTCCATTAAGGTTCTTTCCTGTATATACTAATGCCCCCACAGCTACTAAAAAAACTTTTAATCTTTGAATTATTTATACAAATTAGTATAAGGATGATTATTGCTAAAATGCGGATTTATCCATAAACTATGGCAACATTAAATTTAAGTAATCTCATTTTTTGCCAGTAAAATATAGAATATCTCTGTATGTACTTTGTTGCATTCCGGAATGGTTTTAGGTGGCTTAAAAATGATTTAAAATGATCCTTTAAAATGTGGAAGCAAAGAAATCAAAAAGAAAGTTATTAAGATGGGTCCAAATTTAGTTCTGAGAGTCCTAGGATTTGACTTGAGGATGGAAACCCAGTCTGCTATGAGACTCACTGCTAGCAGACACTGAGAGAAGGAAAGAAAAGAACAGCAGGCTGAGGAAAAGTTCTCCAGTGAAACACTGTCACTCTATGGCAGAGTATTATACTGCCAGCAGTCCTCAGACAAATTAGAAGAATGAGTTTTATGGGGTTGACCTTTAATATGTCTCTTTATTTAAGTAAGAATAGTACAGGGCAAAGCACAATTAACCTGAAGGAATCAAAGGACCTATGCTCACTGATCTAGCCAGCCCCACCTACATAAATATTTATTACTGCCGAACTTTTGACAGGTACATACCAAGCAAAAAAGTACAACCGCTACAAAAGAACCTGGAAGTGCAGATACACCATACTGCTGACTATAAGCTGGTCATGTAAGCTTTAATCGCTTGTGTTGCTACCAGAAGGGCAGGCATCCTCATGAGCCCAACCAAGCTAGACTAGCTGAGAGAAGGAAAAAAAGAAAAACTTAC